AACAACAACAACAACAACAACAACAACATGCATAAGAAAATAAATGGATAGATATATACAAAAACATTATAATATTTGAGAATAGTGAGACATGAGGTAATGTTCTTTGTGTTATTCTGTTTAATTTTCTACTATGAATATATAAACTTTTATAAGTAGAGAAGCAATAAACATTATTATTATATCCAGATAACTATATTATTAATGTTACTAGTTGACTAATGTGACAAGTGAACAAAAATATTCTAAATTGACTATTAACACACCCTTTAAAATGTATACACATTTTAAACGAATGTGTCTATATTTATGGACATTTGTGTTTCTGTATCCATATACTTACAATAAAGCAATATATGCTTCTGTCAATTTATTTTCAGCTAAATGTCACCATAGACTGAACTAACCTACTTTGATTCCAAACATTTGTTGGGAAGAATCAAAATGTCTAAGATGACTTCTTGTATTATTTCCTGGATAAATTATATATTGTAAGGGTATATTGGGCTATATGAAGCTGGACTATATAAAGAAGAACACAACATCAGGATTGGAGGAAGACTCATTAACAACCTGTGATATGCAGATGACACAACCTTGCTTGGTGAAAGCAAAGAGGACTTGAAGCATTTACTTATAAAAATCAAAGACTGTAGCCTTCAGTGTAGCTTACACTTCAACATAAAGAAAACAAAAGTCCTCACCACTTGACCAATAAACAATATCATGACAAGTAGAGAAAATATTGAAATTGTAAAGGATTTCATTTTACTTGAATCAATGCCCATGGAAGCAGCAATCAAGAAATCAAACAATATATTGTACTGGGCAAATGTGCTGCGGAAGATCTGGTTAAGAGTGTTAAAAAGAGAAGATGTCACTTTGAGGACCAAAATGCACCTGATCCAAGCCATGGTATTTTCAATCCCCTCATTCATATTCATGCAAAAGCTGGATAAGGAATAAGGAAGACTGAAGAAGAATTGATGCCTTTAAATTATGGTGTTGGCAAAGAGTATTAAATCTATCATGGACTGCCAGATGATTGAACAAATCCATCTTGGAAGAAGTTCAGCCAGAATGCTATAGTAGTGAGAATGATGAGTCTTGCCTCACATACTTTGTACATATTATGAGGAGGGATTCATCCCTAGAGAGGGACATCATTCTTGGTAAAGTAGAGGGTCAGGAAAATAGATAGACTGATACAAGGGCTGCAACAATGGGCTCAAACATAGAAATGATTGTGAAGATGGCACAGGACTGGGCAGTATTTCGAGCTCCAGTAGCACAGTGGGAGCTCTGGTAGCATAGTGCCCAAGGCACTTGACTGCTTACCAGAAGGTTGGCGGTTCAAACCCACCAGCCACTCCCCGGAAGGAAGGTCGGGTAATCTACTTCCGTAGTGATACTGTCTCGGAAACCCAAGGAAGGGTCGCTATGAGTCGGGTCCAACTGGGTGGCACAGAACAGAACAGTGTTGCTATGAATTGGAACCAACTTGATGGCACCTAACAACAACAATATTGGGGTGCATTCTGAACATCTACATACTAATATGATATAAATTTTGTGGGGATACCAAGTTATTGTTGTTGTTGTTATGTGCAGTCAAGTCAGACCCGACTAATAGTGACCCCTCCTTGGGTTTCTAAGGCAGTATCCCTATGGAAGTAG